TATTTTTGCAGCAGGGACATATGATCAGAACTGTATTTTCATTTCTTATTGATATTGATGGTGGTGATATAAATTTTTTTCAGAAATTCACACAAAAGACCCAGAAGTCTGGTTAAGACACAGCAATATTTAGAGGCACTCTAGAGACCCGGGTTCAATCCCTGGGTTGGGAAGATCCCCTGGAGAAGGAAATGGCAATCCACTCCAGTATTCTTGCCTGGAAAATCCTATGGACGGAGAAGCCTGGTAGGCTACAGTCCATGGGGTCGCAAAGAGTTGGACACGACTTCACTTTCACTTTCTAGATTCTCACCCCCAACTTCAGCACTTATTATTGATGTGAATTTGTCAAGTGACTTAACCTCTTTATAAGTCTCAGTTCTTCCATCAGAAATAGAGAAACTGCACAGAGTCCTGTAGATCAAATGCTACCACAACTAAAATAACTGGAAAAAAGTACCTTTCCCCAGATGTTAGTTCTCCTACCCTCTCTGTGGACACAGTCAACCTAGATTTGCTGCCTACATCAGAACATATTTTCATCAGTAAAGGAAGCAGCATTAAGAAATTATATTTCTGTGTTGGGAGTTTCATTTTATTATTTATAAAAAAGAGAGTTGACTGATAGAAGCAAGTGGACTTTATGTTTTATTATAAAAAATTTCAAACATGCACGGGAGAGAGTATGGTTCATGAACTTTTATTTCCACATCACAGACTATCAAGATTTTTGCACACATACTTTATTGATGGCTTTCTGTGAAGTATTTTAAGCATCACACACACCATAGTGTACCCTAAAAATATGGGTATATTGCAGCATAACTAAAATGCATTATCACACCTAACAACATTAAGTAAATATTCATGTGTTCTCAACAAGAATGATAGTTCTGTGTGCTTTTCAAACTATTCACATTATGTGCTAAGTTATTTCAGTCGTGTCCGACTCTTTGCGATACTATGGACTGTAGCCCCCCAGGCTTCTCTGTCCATGGAATTCTCCAAGCAAGAATACTGGGGTGGGTTGCCATACCCTCCTCCAGGGGATCTTCCCAACCCAGTGATTGAACCCATGTCTCTTAAGTCTCCTGCATTGGCAGGCAGTTTCTTTACTACCAGCGCCCCATTCACACTATAGGGGCTTCATTAATAAATGCACAGAAATTGATGGGCAAAAAATAATCTATCATTTCTAAATATATGCATAATCTTAACAGTCCCCACAAAAAGAGCTGTTCAGTTAGATTGGCTTATAATTTGAAATACAGGGTTTAGTGTGAGTTAATAATATTCACACAAAGACTTGTGCCATTGATGATGATGACAGTTTAAATCTGACAAATCAATACTAATGCAAAAGTAGAAGCCACAGGGAAGCCTTCAGAACATTACCAGCAGGCTAGCTTTCCTTGTATTCTCTGTAAAAGCTTGTGTTTTATCTTAGTTAAAAAGCCATTGACATTCAATTCAGTGATGTGTGTGTATATGTGTGACAGAATATGTATATATGTGTGTGTGTGTATACATACACTGTCTTTTTAAGTGAAGTTATTGGAAAGCAATGACTTTGTTCATAAATTAGACAGAATAACAAAGCCTTATTGTTGAAATTGTTTTTGTACAACTACTCAAGTTGAAAATGTCTTTATCCTTGAAACTGACTTTATCCTAGTCATGGATTGTTGGCATTTAATATTCAAGCTTCCTAATTCTTTTTTTGAAAGGCTGTCACAGGAGAATTGCATGTAGAATATATAATAATTTATTGAGTCTCGCAGTCCCTCACACGTGGGAACCAAAGAAAAGAAAAGGAAGACAAGCTGATTCTCTCTTATTAATGGAAACAACTGTCTGTGAATTAAATAACTGACAGGACAAAATTAAAAACTGACATAAGAATCTGATTTTTTAAAGTGTTTTTGCTATTCATACCATCCATCCATATTTTAGAAAATTTATTTTTTATTTATTTTATTTCTTTTGGATATGCTGGGTCTTCACTGCTTTTTGTGGGCTTTCCCTGGTTGTGGTGAGCAGGAGCTATTCTTTGCTATAGTGCTTGGGCTTCTCATCGCAGTAGCTTCTCTTGTTGTGGAGAGCAGGCTCTCGGGTGCATGGGCTTCACTAGCTGACACATGGGCTCAGTAGTTGTGGCATATGGACTTGGTTGCTGTGATGCATGTGGAATCCCCCGGGACCAGGGACTGAACCCACATACCCTGCATTGGCAAGAGGATTGTGTGCTAAGGGTGGAGGGCATAAGCAAGATGATTGAAAAATGAAGGTCAGCCATATCGCCATATTTCTTGAGTATAAACGTGGTGGCTTAGAAATACTCTTTGAAATTCTGGGGGTTACACATAAGCCAGTTAACTTTGCATCCATGTCCTTCATAAGTTTCAGCTACAAGCAACCAGGCCTAGCTTTAATATGATTCCAAGATGATTTTGGTGTCAAAAAGACAAGAAACCACTTGACATCCTCATTAGGACATTTAATCGCTGTCTCATACTCATCTCCCCCAAACTCATCTCCTGTCAAGACTCCCCCTGCCTCAACTGCTCAGGCTAAGAAGCTCTACTTAGAGTAGCCCTTGGGTTTTTTTCTCTCACAGCCCATTTCCAGTGTTCAGAGAATCCTGCAAGCTCTACCTTTAAAACATACTCAGAACCCAATCACTTCAGCATCGCCACCTGGGTCCAAGCCACTCCATGTCTCCTCTGGATTATTGTAGTAGTGACTTAATTGGTGCCCGTGTTCCCTCTGGTCTCTCTGTAGTCTGGTCTCAACACAGCAGCCAGGATGGTTTGTTCTAATTTTTAAGTTCCCTACTTGAAACTGTCCAAAGACTTCCAATGCCCGAGTAAAGTCCGAAGTCTGTGTTACGAATTATGAGGCTCCACTTGATCTGATTTTCAGGTTACTTTGCTCCCCCTCAATCATTTATCCTTCTGCACACTAGACACACCGTGTCCCAGGAATTTTGTACTTGTTACTCTCTCTGTCTAGAACATCCCTTCCTCCCCCAGAATAGCCACACTGCTGGCTCTCTCATCTCCTTCAAAGTTTTACTTAAATATCTTCTTGGTGAGGCCTCCTCATTTAAACTTTCAGTCACCTGCAATGTGCATTGTTCTTTTCCCCAGCTTTCTTTTCCAGGTTGCATTTTCCACCACCTAAGCCATGACTTATTTTCTTTATATACATACCTTTATTGTCTATCTCCTCAACTACATTTTAAGCTCTCTGAGGCAAAGGGCTTTTTAAAATTGCTACATCTCTTGTGATAACAAGAGGATCTCATATATGCGTGCTCAGTGCCTGCTCGGTCACTCAGTTGTGTCTGACTCTTTGTGACTATGGACTGAAGCCCACCAGGCTCCTCTGTCCATGGGATTTTTCAGGCAAGAATACTGGAGTGGGTTGCCATTTCTTCCTCCAGGATCTGACATATATATGAACAAAGGTACCCACGGAGCTATTAAGCAGTATTTTGTATTATATATTTTTAAAAAGCATGCTGCTATACTTTATAACACTTTCTTTTCACATCCAACAATTTGGCATAGAACTCTTTCCACATTTTTTATGTTTTAAAGGTAGAGCTTTCAGGATTGTCAGAGAGTTGGACCATAAAGAAAGCTGAGCACCAAAGAAATGATGCTTTTGAACTGTGGTGTTGGAGAAGACGCTTGAGAGTCCCTTGGACTACAAAGAGATCAAACTGGTCAGTCCTAAAGGAAATCAGTCCTGTGTATTCAATGGAAGGATTGATGCTAAAGCTGAAGCTCCAATACTTTGTTTACCTGATGCAAAGAACTGGCTCATTGGAAAAGACCTTGATTCTGGCAAAGATTGAAGGCAGGAGGAGAAGGGGACGACAGAGGATGAGATGGTTGGATGGCATTACTGACTTGATGGATGTGCGTTTGAGCAAGCTCCGGGAGTTGGTGATGGGTAGGGAGGTCTAGTGTGCTACAGTCTATGGGGTCGTAAAGAGTCAGACATGACTGAACGACTGAACTGAACTGAGCTGAAAACCTGCTACTATACTGTATAACACTTTCTTTTCACATCCAATAATTTGGAATAGAACTCTTTCCACATGAAGATGTGGCTCAGCCTCATCTGTTGGAACTGCGGTATGCCTTATATAGATATGAGTTTCCCTGGTGGCTCAGTTGGTAAAGAATGCACCTGCAATGCAGGAAACCTGGGTTCAATCCCTGGGTTGGGAAGATCTCCTGGAGAAGGGAAGGCTACCCACTCCAGTATTCTTGCCTGAAGAATCCCATGGACAGAGGAGCCTGGCATGGCACCTCCATGGGGGTGCAAGAAGTTGGACATGACTGAGTGACTTTCACTTTCAAATGGATCAGTTCAGTTCAGTTCAGTCACTCAGTCGTGTGCGACTCTTTGCGACCCCATGAATCGCAGCACACCAGGCCTCCCTGTCCATCACCAACTCCCGGACTTTACTCAAACTCAAGTCCATCGAGTTGGTGATGCCATCCAGCCATCTCATCCTCTGTCCTCCCCTTCTCCTCCTGCCCCCAATCCCTCCCAGCATCAGGGTCTTTTCCAATGAGTCAACTCTTCGCATGAGGTGTCCAAAGTATTGGAGCTTCAGCCTCAGCATCAGTTCTTCCAATGAACACCCGGGACTTATCTCCTTCAGGATCAAATGGAAATAGGTCAGGAATTAGGGGCGTTTGAATTATTTCCAATTTTTAATAGAGACTGTAACATGCATGTTCTGTACCTGATTCCTTGAGCATATGAGACTGTATTTCTTTAGGGTAAGCAGATTTGTGTTTTTCACCTTTGCTGAACTGGAACTGTGTTTCCTGAAATGCCCTCTCTTGCATAGTTCCGACATACTAAATCTCTAAGAAGCATTTTTTCGTGAAATTTGAAGGTGGAAGTTAGCAGGAGCCATATTGTTTTTATACTTGAAAAGTCGGTCTGGGCCCCATGTGCCGCCTCTGCTCACGCACCCGAAAACCCGACAGCCAGCTCCCGTGACAGCCCTGGGCTGGAAACGGAGGCGCACGAGGCCAGCCCAGCCGCACCCGCTCCTTCAGCTTCGCCGCCGCCTGGGTAAGGCACGTGTTTATTCTGTGGTGGCGCGCACGGGCTCCCCGTGTAGGACGCCCCCATTACTCACGTGAGAGGTTGGCTGGGGCTGAGAACCTCATGCAGATTCGTACCCTTCCTCGTGGCTTCAGCCTCAGCCTCCCAGGCTTCAGTCCATTCTTCCTTCTTCCGCGTCACTTCCATCTTCCCCTCCTGACCGCCAGCCTCTGGATTTCATGGTCCAGGACCAGTGCACAAACAATAGCCACATCCTGACTGTGCCGCCAGTTCCCGCAGTTGCACAGGATCGAGCCAAATTCATGTATGTATGCACCAATGGTTCTGCTTCTCTGTTGAAATGCTGATCAATGCAGGTAGATATTGAAAAACACATTTTCCAGGTTTGAGGTTTTGTACTTTCTTTTTTTCATTTTAATAAATTAAAAGATGGATCTCTCATCTATGAGACATTGGAAGCATTTTCTCCCAGGGATCCATAAACTGCACCTTGAAACTTGCACCTTAACAACATGAAAAAAGTGCTTCCCTGGTGGCTTAAATGGTAAAACTTCTGCCTGCAATGTGGGACACCTGGGTTTGATCCCTGGGTTGGGAAGATCCCCTAGAAAAGGAAATGGCAACCCACTCCAGAACTCTTCTTTGGAAAATCCCATGGACAGAGGAGTCTGGTAGGCTACAGTCCATGGGGTTGCAAGTAGTCGGACACGACTGAGCGACTTCACTTTGACTTTAACAACATGAGCAGATAGTGGAGTGTGTTTCTTGCTGAGCGGGTGGCTATGGAGGAAACCGGGGAAGGGAAACAAGAGTAACATGAGACCAAATGATGTGTAGTCCTCGTTTGCACAGCTGGCCTCAGTTAACAGGACCACTGTGAATCAATTTACATTTTTAAATACTCCCTTTGCAATACCAGAAATCAGAAACATAATTTCAACAAAATAAAAGCTTAGCTTTTTTTTTTTCTGTTGAATGTCATTGAAGGTTTGTTGTTCATGAACAAAAGCAATTTTCCTCAGTGTGTGCATTCTTACTCTTGGCAGATGTGGGACAGATGTTTTTACTATCGACACATGGGGACTTATAGGAAAAACACCCTTCTAATTACTCAAAGCAGCCAAAAACTGTGTTTCATAACTTAGTGATGGAGTAAAAAACATGTCTCATGGCTTAAAACATTCATATTAAGATGCCATAATAGTCTGTTGTTCCTTTGATCACATTTATGTCCTCAGAGTCATTTCTATATATCTCTGTCTTTATGGAGGCCCAGTGAGATGCTTTAAACTCTAGCCGTTTTGTTATTACTGATTGAAATGAGTTTTGGAAAACAGGGTCCTCTTTAGAGTTTCTATTTTCCCTTTGCTATAAAGAGTTTGCGACAAGCAGTAGTCCCTAAAGTTGTCAATAACAAAAGGCCATTTTAAAAAGTGAAGGTGGGGGGGAAGGAGAGGGTGGGATGAATGGAGAGAATAGCAGGGAAGCATGTACGTTACTGTACGTAAGATGGATGGCTGGTGGGAATTTGCTGTCTGACTCAGGAGACTCAAACCGGGGCTCTGTGATGGCTTGGAAGGGTGAGATGGGGTGGGGATGGTAGGGAGGTTCAGGATGAAGGGGCCCTGTGTATACCTATGGCTGGTTCATATTGATGTATGGCAGAAGCCAGCATAATATTGTAAGGAATTATCCTTCAATTACAAATAATTTTTTTTTTTAAAGGGAAGGAGCTTTCCTCTTTGGACAAATGTTTGGGTGGAGGGATATGCTTAACAGAGCAGGGCCTGCCTGCCTCTTGTGGTGTGCATTCTGAATTTCCATAGTCAACCTGGCAAAAAATCTGGCTTCACCATAGAAAGTGACTGGGGCTGATCCAGCGAGTCCCAGAAGTGGGGTCCACATGTGCCTTTAACAGAATCTACACGCCTTGATGACTTACGCTCACAGTGAGCAAAAGCTAATTCTTGTGAGATTATGTTTCATTTTGCAAAAATTAGACGAATTCAGGTACTAAGCTGAAGGTTAATCGTTCTCTCTCTCCTGAAAGCTGAACTCCCTTCAGCAAAGACACACAGCAACTCTGCGGATCTCTGGAGAGCTCCACCTCTCATCCCACTGGCAGCCAGGGGCCCGGCACAGCTGGGAAAGAGTAGGAGTTTAAGCTGCTCTACGATGAGATACTTGACAAAACAGTCCCGCTCGTATTCCAGAGGCATCTGTTAAGTCACTCTCCAGGGAGTCTGAAAACACGTTCTAGCCTCCTCAGGTGAAAGTTAGGGGTGTGTTCAAGCTTGGGAACAGCTTTACTGACACTGTATGAAATCTGAAAAGAGTTGTGGAAGGTCTGCCCTGATCTGGTCCCTAAAGTACTTAGAAATAGGTGCCTTCACTTCTTAGAAATTCTTTTTTCTTTTGAAAACACCATGAAGGTTCATTACAGTTGAGAAATGCCCCCTTTTTTTCCCCAGAGCATTTCTGGTCTAGGGTTCTGTGTTTGGTCTTTCTAGTCACCTACATTTTCTGTGAGCAGGGCACATTCAGCCAGTCCTGGTTGGCCTACAGTACACTCTGCATTTGCAGCCCCATGGTTCAGTTTTCCTTCTCCTGAGGAGAAAATAACTTACTTTCTAGCCCTGACTCTGATGTAATTCCCTTTCCCCTTCCTGCCACAGAGGATTCCATTCTGGGAAGTGGCATTTAGGCTTCTGGGAAGGGTGAGCTATGGTATACACAGTTCATACAGAACTTTGGGTCCAGAGTAGACATGGGCACAGCAGTAAACTCAGATGCCGCTTGGTACCAGCCAGCTCGTTCTCACTCACCTCTTCCCTCTGCCAGAGAGTACCTCCAACCCTGACACGCATACCCTGACACCCAAAGTTTCACACCCATCTTCCCCTGCCTAGTTTTCTCTGCTCATTGTTCTTGAAGACAGCCACAAGCATGGGTCTCTAGGATCTCATTCCGCAGAGCGGTGGCGAAGAGCAGGGATCTCAGAACCAGGCTCTGTGGGCGCCAGACCTGACTTTTCATTTACTAGTTGTGTAAACTCAGGCAAGTTACTTGATCTCTTTGTATTTCAGTTCCTTTATCTATAAGATGATGATTAAAATATTTTATCTATCACATAGTGTTGTCTGTATTTACTGAATTAATGTTGTCTGCTTTCTTGAATAGTGCTGGCCACTAGTAAGTACTATGTAAGGGTTAGCTAATATTTTCTGACATTTAAAAATACTGCAGTTATTTCCTAAGTATTTCTTTTTTTTTAAAGGACAGTTCTGGATTATTGGTCTTTTTTTTTTTTTCTTTAAGTTAAAAGAATGTCCAGATTCTTCGACCCTCCTTCCTTTCTCCTTTTTACTTTCCTTTTAATTTCCTCTCTGTACCTGCATAGGGCAAAATGAGTCCACCTGGCTGATTCCTGGGGCAAAGGGTTCCTTGGGTAGCACTTTGGAAACTTCGATGGTCTTAACGGTGTGTCTCTTGATGCATCCCAATGTTGGTAACACGACATCAATGGCCTTCTTTATCTAATAGCAACAACCACACAGAAGTAGGGGTAGATACTTACCATGGACTGGATCTTGTGATAGGTACATAGACCTATAATCTGTCTCTTTACAAACTTAATGTTTAGAGACGTGGTGGTAAATACCAGATGCAACAGCTAAAGGAGTGGAAGTGATCTCCTCTGGGAAGGGAAACTGGGGGAAAGGATGGATGGCCCAGAACTACAATTGTCTTCTTGTACACTGTAGAATGATTTGACTTTCACCTGTTTCTTCTGGTATTTATCATCATTATCAACTAACAAGCTTATACTTTGATTTCTTGATTTTTTTTCAGTTTTATATATTATCTTATGGTTTCCTATAATTGGGAAATGAAGATTTAGCTCTCTTACAGTCCTTCTCCCATCATCTCAATATATTTCAGTTAGCTCAATACTGTATTTAGATAGTATACTGACTGTAATATTATTTACAGCTGAGCCATGTAGTATGTAGTGCACTTCCTTTATTGTATAATGCTGAGCATCCTCGGAGTTAAGAGCCATTATTTCTATTTATCAGTGCCTTATTCAGCACCCTTGATATCCTCAAACACACCAGGTCAGTACCAGATTTGATTTTGTTTATGCTACTTTTCCTCCACCTCCCCAGCTTCCTGCCCTAAGCCAGTATTTACTGGGTCTCCTCACCATCACCAGAAAACAGTACTTTGATTTCTTTTACTTCTGTCTTTTGTTGGATTCTCGTTTTTTGAGTCTTATGTCATCCTTTCTTTTGGTCAAGTGGAGCACATTCTCCACTAGTCTCCTGAGAAAGGGGACAGAAGAGATAAATTCGCTGAGGCTTTTCACATGTGCATATCTTTTATCACATATACTCACAACAATCTGCAAAGTAGTTTTTATTATACTTAGCTTATTGATAAGAAAACTGAAGTTTAAAGAGGTCTAAGGAATCATCTCAACCTCACACAACCTCACACACAGGGAAGTATAACTGAGAAAGAAGTTGGCAGAGTTGTATACATGCAGACACACACATACAATATAGAATTGGCTAGTACTGTTTATCCTTAATTAATTTTATTTTTATAGAAACAAATTTTAGAGAATTAATCTGAAGAATATACAATTTTTTTTCATTCATATATTTTTTTTATCTTTCCAGTTTTGCCTTGACAATTAATTCACCATTCTTTTTGAATGATAATCCTAGATAAAAATGTCACTTTCTATAATTAGAATATCAGCTTGAATATTAAAAAATAATAATCAATAGAGAAAGTTTACAGATACAACAAATTGAGTTTGACTATTCCATATCATATGAATGTTAGTTTGGATATTTAATATTTTTTTCATAAGCATGATATAAATAGCAAGAATACTGCAAGGATTGATAGCTTCTGAGTAATTAAACAACTTATCTTAGAAATACTGGCTACAGTTTTATTAGAGAAACAATCTCACTCTAAATTCTTTATTGAATGGTGTGACTATTGAAATTGAAGTCTAGGTAATGGCCTTAGATGGACAGGGAAGCCTGGCGTGCTGCAGTCCATGGGGGTCACAAAGAGTTGGACACAACTGATCGGCGGAACTGAATGGCCTTAGATGACCTTGAGTTCTTTTCTTTAGCCCTAACATTTTAAAACCACTTCACATGAAA